CGGGACCCGGGATAGTCTTATTATAGCTCTTGCTTTGTCAAATCATTACTTTCATACCCCTTGCATTTAAGAAAAACAATGTTATAAAAAAAATAATAATCTGACATATAACAAGTATACATGTAGCGTGTGCAATTTATTTGGCTAGGGGCATGTACACACGTGGTTCGAAACTGTAGGGGGCTACAAATGCGGCCATAACTAGTATATTTTTGAGGTGTTATAAAAAACAAATAATACTCACAAAAGCTTATAAAATTGCCGTTCTATCGATACCTTATATGCCATGTTTCATCCACCAACAACGCCACGACATCGATGAGAAATACGTTTCTAGACGGGCATTTTCTTCGAAAAGGATAGGAAGTTAATGAATTAAAATAATTAATTCTTTTAGTTAACGCATTATGTTTACCTCTTTATTTGTTGTATGCAATAAGTATAGACCTTACTAATAATGACTGTTTGGTTGTCACACCTGTGCATGTGTCGTGCGAGGTACAGCGGTAAGGTAAATTACCGAGAGTCGCGATGTGCGGGGTGATTCGGAATACCCTAAATGACGGTGGTCCATTGAATTTCTACTAGTAAATCAACCTGCCAAATCTAACATGGGCCCACATAATACGACTAAATTCGTTTCATGAATGAACTGGTTCTTAACAAATACATGTACAGTATACAATATCTTTTCTTTAGATCTGTTTGTTTATTATTTTCAACCACAATCTGCAGTACATGTATAGTTACACGAAATCCATGCACAACGGCGCTACACCTGTCAATCAAAATCTCTCGATATTGTGAACTCAGTCTGGTGTTACGGCAGCATTTCCGAAGTGATTCAAAATTCTATCGGCTAATTCTAATTTTTCGCGTTGAATAATAATATTTTGGAACAAAGTTGGAATTAAGGCTGGAGCTGCATGCTGTGAATTTATCACACCTGCAGTCTTCCCTTCTTACATGTATATGAAGCATCTGTTGAGTAATGAATCAGAGAGCATAATATGCGGAACAAGTTTGATTGAGATTTTTACTTTTCCTTTAAGATAAAATGATTAATAACATAATTTATGCATCTAATAGATACATATAAATGTACATGTATAGCTTTTTAAAAACAAGAATCTGTAATTGAAAATGTGAATTAAAGTGAAGAGTTTAGGTAATAGTTCTTAACCAAAATTTAATGAAAGTTCATTCCTTCCTAGTCTCTATATAACTTTTAATTACGGCCGTGCCCTCTCCCCTTCAAAAGATGTCTAATACATGCTTTTAAATTCTGTTTATGTATCAAGAAATTTCCACAGGTACTTGTGGACAGGATCCCCCCCCCCCCCACGATCACTGGGAAGAACTCAAAGAAAGAAGACTCTTGAGGAAAAGATATTTTGATTCGACTTATAGACTGAAATAAACCGATATTCTCTTTTTGCCACTCTTTCCTGGTGCCCTGGGACTCTGAATGTACGATCAGTATTTTTCTCACAGGTCCGTTGTACGGATTGTACGGGGGGGGGGGGGGGGGCAGACCTTCTGAAAATAGTCTTTTGTTGTAGTTTTAATATGTAAATTTTGATTTAGTTGCTGCTTGCACCCTCCCCACTCTTTGTTTCTCTACGATCATACATAGGCGAATCCCAGCAAAAATGTAATGACCCCCCCCCCCCTCCAACACACACTTTTTTTTAAATGTGTATTGCGATAGGACTTAAAATTGGAAAACATTTTCTGTATATCTCTACATCGAAAAATATAAAACAAATATTTTTTTTTTATATTTCCTTTTTAAAACAACATAGGTAATTATGCATAGCTAATTAAATACTGAATTAAATATTTATCTTTGCAGACAATATGCTCTGGGTTATAGAACATGATGTGAAAGCGTATCGTAATGCACCTTGTAATCCGTTGGATTTTCAGATTTAAGGCCAATGCGAAAACCCAAAGACGCCGACATTTTATTATGCTACTGTAATCGAAGATCCGGGGGGCATACAGTTTTTGTCCTGTCCACCTGTCTATTTGTCTGTTAGACTGTGTTAGCCTCTTTGTGCGCAAAAACTTTAACTATGCCCATAAAATTTGATTGGTTGGAACTACTGCTTTCATATTTCTTATGTGTATTCCTAGTAACAAGGACTTCCTTCAGGTACCAACATATTTGACCTCTTGACCTTGAACTTGGAGTTTGATCCTCTTTCGCAAAATTTTACCAAACTATAACCTTGGCCAAAACTTTTGAACAGTTGGTGCTATGGCTTTTATACTTCACATCTGTATCCCTTGTGATAAGTCTCCTCCTTGGGTATAAATATGTTTGACCATTTGACCTTGACCTTGGCGTTTGACCAACTTTTAAACAACTTTAGCCTTGACAATAACTTTTGAATGACTAGTACTAGGGCTTTTATATTACATAGGTAATTTTCTTGTGACAAGGCCTGTCATTGTATACCTTTAATTTTGACCATTTTACCTTGACCTTTGATTATGTCCTACTTTTGAAAAACTTTAACCTTGGTTTTAACTTTTGAACAGTTGGTGCTAAGGCTTTTTTAATACCACATGTGTATTCCTTGTAACAATTAAGACCTTCCCTCAAGTACAAACAATTATGTTCCCTTGACCTTGGAGTTTGACCTTTTAAAGAAATTAACCCTTGGCCATAACTTTTAAACTGTTGCTGCTGTGGCTTTCATACAAGTATATATTTCACAGTATATTCTTTGTTCAAGACCTTTATTTGGGTAATAACATTTTTTTTTTATCTTTTGATCTTGACCATGGAGTTTGACTTGCATTTGAGAAACTTTTAACTTTTGCCATAAGATGCCATATGGGGGCATCAGTGTTTCAAAAATCACATGTTGTTCAGTATCCAAATTGGGCATAAAACATTTACAATGATCCTTTAAAGCAGTGAGTTGAACCTAATAAATTACGACTATAGAAATTATGATAATTTATTTCGATGTATGGTCTAAAAAAAACGTTTATTATACCTCTGTGAAAACTAGCTTACAAGTGAAAAATCACTAGTAAAATAGAATTTGATTGGCCGAGAAAGTCACGTGTCCATCATGTTTGCCCTGCAACAAAACGTCGTGTTTCACGATTGTGACGTCACAATTAAACGAGTGAGGAGTTAGATTGTTTATAGCGACGCTGCTAACTTCGTTCGCGCGGTAACAACAACTTAAAATTCACCCCAAAAAATCACCTTAATTAATGGAATTGCATACAGATATTAGATTAAACGTTCTTTATTAAAATGTTTGCACTTTTCAAAATTCGTTTATGGAAATACAGCTAACATACGTCATGAGACGTCACAGTCTAGACGTTCCAAATGTCTCGTGCTGTTTGAAGAGGCGGATCTTAAAATTAAGTGAACAATGCACTCGCCCAACGGTCGCACCGTCAGCATATTATCGTTGATTGATTGTGTCGATTTAAATGTGTAAAAATGTAATGGTGTTTGAATGTTACTGGTGTGATCACACAAACTTGTCACGTAGGATTTTTTTTTTTAATGAAACGAGGCTATTGGTGTACCTGTAACTTACATCTCTTTCATATCGTTCTCATCAAATGCATGTTTGCTTTATTCATTGGATCTCCTTTGTAATTCCTGCATTTTGGTTAATTCGGTATTATAAACAATTTATTGCATAATAGTGAGGGAGACATAAAGATTTCTTCGCAAATGAAAAATCATATTTCTCTCGGGCGTTGCCTTCGGGGAGTATGATTTTTCATGGGCGAAGAAATCTTCAAGTTGCCCTCGGGGAATATGATTTTTTATGGGCGAAGAAATCTTCATGTCTCCCTCACTATCATGCAATAAATGCAAACTGTGAACTTGTCAACTGCGAAACACACAAAAGGGTATCGCTGATATCATACAGAGTGTATCATTGCCTTGATCAGGCCCATAGGAAGCAAATTCAGGGTTTTTTTTTGGGGGGGGGGGCACAGCCATACATTTTCAGTTGACAGTTGAGGGGGCACTACTACCATAAATTTCCTGACAAGCAAAAAAAGGTCACCAACTACCAAAAATTCTTTGACAAGCAAAAAAAAAAAGAAGAAGGTTATCAGACGTTTCTATTGAGGTGGCACAAGCTATAGTACCTATGTCTACTATAGTAATCTATATATCGGCAAAATTATTGGGGGGCACGCCCCCCCCTCCCTCGGTTCCTACGGCTTTGTTGATTAAATTTAGGGTCACTAAGGAAAGAATGTTTTGACTGGATGAATGGTCTGAAAGAACATGTGTTAACTTGTCGAGTCGGTAACACATAGATGGGGTTTGCTTATAACCAGAATGTGTCATGGTTTGATGCAAGGTCATTTGAACGAGTTCAAGGTCATCAACGGAGAAACAACATTCCTTAACTGTCTTTCTACTGGTGAGACATTGCAAGTTGATACCCCTTACAAGATTGCTTATAACCTTAGAATGTGGCATGACCTTGACTCAAGGTCACTTCTTCCTGTTCGCAGCTCCAACGGAAGACCTACTCGTTGCTTTGCAACGAGCTCTGCTCTAGTTTTTATTAACATTTATTTGTTTGAGGTTTTTTTTCCAGAGCAAAAGTAGGATTTGACGAAAATATTGAGAAAGTCTTTGATTTCAACCATACAAAAAAGAACTTTACAGACAGACTATTTGAATTAAGAGAAGAAATACACTGTTTTAGGTCCGAAAACTATAAAACTCTAAACTAAATGCTTTGCCTACGCTGTAAAGGGTAACACAGATAGGGAGTCATTGGAGACTAATTTATGAGCTATCCCTTTACATATATCAGGGGACCATTCTCAATGTGGAGACTGGTGTGGGTAAGATCCAGTAATTTATGAGATTTATAATGATGAAAAAAAATTAAGAAAATGAAAAACAGTTTTCTTTTAATTAATGAAAGCATGATAATTCGTAATATACAGTTTGCATGTATATTTTCAAAACATATTTTCAGTTTTAAAGCAACCATTATTATACAAACCAAGAAACCTGCCTTATGGAAAATATTTAACTGGAGAAGATCTAATACAGGACCTCCAAAATATCTTTGATGCTTTCAGCAAGAATGCTGATAGATTAACATAGGCAGCACTCAAGGAAATGAGAGCTTCAACAACATAGTTTCCTCAAAAAACCCAAAGAACCGCTTTTATGGTGGTTCCGAGTCCACTGCATTCAGGGTTGCAGCAGCTGTTGCACAAAAGAATATTGGCACTGATGTTCTTTCCAAGGTTTGTGTCTTATCTTAAAGTTTAATCTGTGTTATAAGATATTCATTATTTTCATCATGTATTTTTGTTGATATTTTTCAGTTACTTATTTTTTTAAAGAAGTACATTTTCTTTTCTGTGTTATACATATTGCTATACTTGTAGGTTTATGACAACTTATTACTGTCGCCGGGAAAGAATACACAATTGTTTCTTACTTGGGCATCAAAGAAAAGGCAGTATAACAGGAACAGAAAGGCCAGTACAGCATACAAAAAACGGCGCTATGAACTGAAGTCATCAATAGCTAAACAGGTCAGTGCTAAAATATTTGCTGATATAAACTCTGCATTAATTTCAACAATGTTTTAAAACATATGTTTTGTAATGGTAATATAACAGAACTTGTATTCATATAATACATGAGTTGCACATTTCCATTTCCAATGCTACATGTATGTATTAAAAATGATAGGAGTCAACAGCTGAAGTAAAGGAAGGCACAACATATCAGACCGCAGTAGACCTAAACCCTACAGCATCCTCAGAAACCACACAGGAAATACCTGCAACAGTCCCACCAACACTCAAAGTGGTGGAAAATGGAAAGAATACATTTCTTTACTTTGACCTCGAGACAACTGGCTTGGGTAGATAATACTTATCTTTGTAGTAATCAAAAATAGATATGCAATGTACCAGAGCAATTTGTCAAATATTGCTAAAATACATGTTATATTTACATCATAAATATTTGTAAAATAAAAATGCTTGTTTACTATTTTTTTAAAGGTACTTCTTGTGACATCACTAAATAGGTATGTGTGACTGAAAAAGAAAGTTTTAACAGGTATGTTATTCCTAAATCACCAATAACAGCAGGCGCCACAGCTATAACTGGATTACATGTTGTCAACAGGGTGATGTTTCATCACAACGCAGTACAGTTAAGGTGACGAATGGAAATATCGGCGAATTTTTCTATAGAAAATACATTCTTTTCAAGGATGGGCGATTCGTTTTAGGACTTTACTATCATCAGACAAATGTAATGTGGTTGAAAACTACATGTTGGGGACGATTAGAATTCTTACCTAGACTTGTGACGTTATGTGGCAGTCACGTGATTTTAGCAAATATACCTGCAGTATTGACGTCATCTATAAATTCCAATATTGCAAGGGCATAACCACGTTAAAAATCTAAGTTTAATTTATAATTATTTTCAACACTCTTTGTAGTTTGTGAAAAGTGCTGCGAACCTATATAGATTCTACTATATGATTGCTAAAATTACGTTTGTTAGACCGTATGCTGAATATTTTGCTGGTCAAGTACATTAAATATAGATATAATTAATTCATTTGCAAGATTTCATCAGGTTCGCAGCACTTTTCAAATATCTTCATACCTCTTGAGTTTATGTGTAAAAGCTTGTCATAATTCATTGAGGGTATGCCCTTGCAATATATAGATTTATTACGACCCTTCTTATACCCTTCAGTGAATCTGCATACAAATATTCGGCAGTATCGCTTGTCTAGGAAATGTACGGGAAGTATATGAATAAAATCATAAATAGACATCGCATCCAAGTTAATGTCCTCTTATATCTGCAAATAAATTTTTTTTTTACTTACAAAATACATTTTTCATTGTATAAAATATAACTTGTCCCGCCTCTCACTGCATACAAATTTTGCGTTATGACGTCACATTGACAAGTGCATTGCGATCAGTGAATTGTTTATATATTGCTCTGTGGGATTTAACCAACGACAAAAATACATGCAATAGTAAGTATTGATGTAGTTTAAAGCTATCCAACAGTTTAGAATAGCAAATCATTTCATTTTGTGGTAATTTGAAGAACATATATATTTGTGTGATGTCATAGAAAGCATTTCCCGTAAAAATTAGGCCCCGCCTCCTTATTGCAACCTTAAAGAGGCTGGGGGGTTGTGGCCATTTTTAGACTATATTGATCTCCTTTAGAAGAAGAGCTCCATATGAAGATATAGAAAATGATCAAGTTTTAAAACTAAAATTTTTGAATTTTTCTTTGCCAAATGATAGTTGACAGCTTAAGATATCATATCTAAAAAATTAAGTTAAATCTGGTGGTTAATTTGTTGACCCCCCAGCCTCCTTAACTGTGCTGCGAAGGAAAAAGTTGAAGGTTTATCTATTGAAAGATGCCTAGAAGAGTTTACAGAGTGGTTGAAACAATTTAACAAACCCTTTCTTGTTTGTCACAATGGACGGGCATTCGATGCACTCATTTTAATGAAAGCTGTTTTAAATTGTACATGTAATTTGGTTTTGTTGATAGTTTGTATGTGCTAAGGGAAGTTTTGCCAGGTAGGAAGTGTTACAAGCTGGGAACTTTAGTTAAAGATTGTATGTCTATGTCCTATAAGGCCCACTCAGCTCTTGAAGATTTACAGGCATTGCAGTCATTGGTTTTGAATTGAATTTAAATATAAGCTATGATATTTTATTAAAACACAGTTTTAGTGTACAGTATGTAATATCTTCAATAGAGTACAAATCAAAGACAAATGAATGCTTAGTATCTTTGCAACCATTAATAAACATTGTTTCAAATTACATGTTAAGAAAAATTGCCCAGTCTGGTTTGACATACCAACATTTGAAGATGGCATATGAAAGAGGAGGACCAGAGGTAATTGAGAATATTTTGAGTGAAACAAACTCTGAAGGAGTGGTAAGGGTGACCAGAACAAAGTGCAAAGTTAATCACTCATTTCTCTTCCTGAAGTTATTTTTCTTAACATGGAATTTTAATCAAGGTGTTTGTTTTATTTGCAAAAATATTATTCATTTACTTGTCTTTTTAAACAATTAAATACACATGTACCTTTAATAACTTTTACATAATTGTTATATTATAACAGGGATATCAGAAAATTGTACAAAGGTAAGACAAGTAATAAAAGTAAGTATGATCCCATTTGTGTTGGACACTGTGTATATATTCTGTACAGACCTGACAGGTAACTATAGTTTTTTTTTTGTGTGTGTTAATCATTGTGTTTGATCATTTCATTTCTGAAAATATTCATGTATCATTCAAGTTTTTCTGTTTTGTGTGTCCTATGTGTGCTTCAGTTCATGTTTGCTTGTAAGTATATCTTGTTCTGTTCTTGTCTTCTCTAAAATTATGCAATTTTTCAAATTTAATCATTTTATTTCATATATAAAATATCATGTGCCATTTTCAAATATTTCTGTTTTGTGTATCCTTTATATGGGCTTGTTCTGTGTTTTTTGCAAAGTGTTTTGTTCTGCTTCTCTCTGTTTTTTTTTCTTATATAACTATATATATATATATATCATTGTAGCTATAGTGGCTTTTTCTTATTTATTAGTAACAGCTGGTATGATCATAAGTACTTCTTATATATATATATAGAAGAGAGAGAGAGAGAGATCTATATATATATATATATACGAGGGTTGTCCAAAAAGTTCGTGGACAGATGCTTAGTTTTCTTTATAAAGTCCGCAATGGCAAACATGTACGATAATATCTTAATATAGACCATGACTGAGTAAATGTACAAAAAAATAAAACAATGCACACTATTTACTGAACATTATAGGTGTAAATACTTTGTATATGCAAGTCGCACGGGCCAGTCTAACGTAACGCTTATTTCATGATAACGTCAGAAATATGAATTTTGAATTTTTATCGCATGTTCATAGACGCATGCTATTTTTCTTTATTATGCCACATTGCCAAATGTGTGCAATAATATTTATGTATAGATTATAATTAATTTAAATATTAAAATTCAAAACAATACACAATAATTTACGAGCGTCATCAATATTAACACTTCGTAAACACAGGATGCACAGCCCAGCCCGACGGCGCTATATTTATAACAACGTCATGAATAGGAATATATCCTATTTTCATCAAATAAAAGTAGTTTTCCACTTCTTGTAGTGTCTCCGAAATTTTACACACCGTTGAAAAATCGTATACACCAATTACAAATCACTAGACTAAATATTTTCCAATAAATTTAAGTTGTTTGAATAAATATTTCGTTTTTGACGACGTTTCAACCATATTAACCTTAATTGTATGATTGGACGCTGTCCCGTTCAGATGGCCGACGTCGCTTTTTCTGTCAATTTTTGAAACATATTTCTTGCGGTTTTCACTTAATATTTTCATTGTCTATTTAGTAAGCGATACTAAAGGTATCAGAAAATGGCGATAACCGCTTTATTTGTGATATATTATATTTTTATTCAGCTTTAACTCGTTTTAAAAGGAAAATAATCATTTCAATCAGATCATTTTATTTAAAAGTTCATGGCATTTTAACCCCGGTCCGTGCGCACTATCGGCGACCTTTAATGACCGAGATTTTTACAAAAATATTAAGTTCAAACAATAAAAACCAAACTATTCCGACTTGGATTTTCATAACTAATATTTTGGTATACAATAAGCATATCTTGAACCATTCATTTTGACAAAAACGCCATTGTCCACGAACTTTTTGGACAACCCTCGTGTATATATATATATATATATATATATATATATATATATATATATATATATATATATATATATATATATATATATATATATATAACTTTTTTTGCATGAAATTACATGTATTACTGTTATTTCTTAAATAATTCTTTGTATTATTAATTCTTTTCCATTTTTATCCAAAAAAAGAAAACGGGAAATTGATACCAAGATATTTGAGTCCAGGTAAAATAAAGATAACTCTTTAATAGGATCTTTCCTACCATGATTTTTGTAATGTCTCAATTTTTTTTTTTTTTTTCAATTTCATTCAATTTTTTTTCTTTCATCTTACTAACCCATGAATATTATTTACATTTTTAGAGTTTTGTAGGATTCCAACCAGCATATTTCCTTGAGAGTGATTTTTATTGTCTTTATTTCTCTTTTTTGTAGATTTGAATAAAAAATATTCAAACTTCATTTCTGATGTTTATGTTTTTTTTAATTTTAAATTTTCATAACAATGTATTTACATACAAAATTAAAACCTTAAGCATTGAAAAAGGTGAAAAAATAGAGATTTCTATTATATAATTCAAAATTAAAAAAAATAAATAAAATAAAGCTTGATACTTTTGGAATTTATTTTCTTGGATATTGACTCCACTATTGAAAGTGAATACATGCATCAAAAATCTTCCCTACGTGTAGAGAGCCCCCTTAAAATTTTTCTACTCTGTCATGGAAGGAAATATGAAATAAACTAAAATCGCAGCTTGTAAAATTGATATTGCTTTAATGCTGAAAATAGAAATCAATGACATTCAAGTTATAAAAAAACAGACACAGACAATTGAAAAATTTATGATACAATTTTTAAATCTAAAATACATATATATATAAGTGTTGATGTAAACTTCTACAGTGGTAATCACCACATCTAAACTTTTTTTTTTTTTTTTGAAAATGTTATTGGCACCAATTTAACGTAATTATTTTTTTGAAATCTCTATCGCATAAAAAAAAATACAAGTTAACTAAAAAAATATAGTACAAATAAATAAATCAGTTGCAGTTTTATACTGCGTTAAACTGTTATATTTTCCCAGCATGCTCTCAAGTATACTCTATTGTACTCTGTTTAGTAGGAACGGAAAATTTATCACTTAGTTGAAAATATCAGGTCATTAACAGATTTACAGAAAAAATAACATGAATAAATATAAAGTCTGATTTACATCTTAAAGCGCTGTAGGTCGACTCTGTTATAGTCCGAGTTATTCATAGTCCGAGTTTGTTATGGGACGAGATCTCATGTAATCCTCAAAGGGATTTGAATTGGAAAATGACAAGTAGCCCTCCACTTATTCGTGCTCGTTTTGATTGAAAATTGTTGCCAGCCTTATTGAATTAGACATTCCACCTCGTGGAGGGGATAAAAATAGTTAAAGAAATTTTAAAAGAATCTGTCGTGCCAGCCTCTTTCCTCACACGTCTTCATCCAACATCCTCTCCTTTATTTCCTGGACAACAATGGTGAAGATTTCTCGCCTGGGCCCTCCATAATCTTCTGCCTGTTCCCCGTAGAATGTAACTTCCAGCGGGAAGGGTATATTATCGGCTGAACTTAATTCTACGAAAGCATCTTCCAATATCACCAGCCGGCTTATGAAGATGCTCGTAATATTTCCCTCAATCATTACGGATTCATCCGTGACATCGAGCTTTCTGCCTTGGATGAAGATTTTCTGATAATACTTTAAAATCTCAATGGGTTCTGAAGTGTGTACCATTCTGAAAATTATGGAAATGAACCTAAAGAACATTTAACAAAGTAGTACTTATTCAATACAATATCAATGTTTGATTTTACCCATTGCAATGCTTTTTCAGCAAGTGCTGATGCTACCCCCCCCCCCCCCCCCCCGTCATTCTCTACCGTCGCAGGAATCGGCGAATTCACCAGCATTTCATCATCTGTTCCATGAAGAAACCACTGGTGATTACAATACATTTGAAAATACCCTCGGTTCTTGTAGAGGGGGGAGGGGGGGGGGCAGGACCATTACTAGTAAGAATTTGCTGGAGAAAGTTTCTAATGTTAATATCCCTGCAATCTATTAAACATTATAAACAACGGAAACAGAGACGTATTGGAATCAATGAAAAATGAAAACCTTGCAGACACACATGTTTTGGTTAACACAGCACATTTTCGGATATCTTTTGGAATAATTGTTTTCAGGAACATTATGAAAAGCATTCATTTCTAATATTTTTGAGAAACACTACTAAAGATAATGCAGGAGATGGAGGGATAGATGCACAGAGCTCCTTTTTCCGTGATGTTCTCCAGCTCCCTACTTAATTGTGGGACAATCTTCCTAGGAGGTCTTCATTCAGTTTATTTTTTTTTTAAACCCTACTATTAATTTTCTGATATTTAAAAAGAAATACAAATATTTTTTATAAAAATATCTTTGTTGTGTAATTTTAAAAAATATTAAGGTTCTCAATCTAATAAAAATTAGATTAAAGCTCAAGATTGGAAAAAAAATCTACCGAGGTTATACATTGTATGTAAAAGATGGAAGGGCAGATGTACAGAGTTCTTTATTTTCATTGTGTCTTCCCTCCTGAATGGTGGATCGTTCCTCCCTGAATTTTAAAAAATAAATATATTTTTGAAATGATTGTACAATAAAGAAAACGTTTGTCGATTATACAATTAGTTAAGTTCTGACAAGAAAAGGCTACATAATTATGTAGAACAGACTGAGGGGACGGCAATTTTTACTTCCGACTACAAGCTCTGGCTGTAGATCAGCTGTCACATTCGTCGGAAATTGCTTAACCACCTTTCCAGCTTCTCCTGAGCTAGTTCTTGTTTAGACTCAGGAAGTGGTAGTATCATCTCCTCCTGAGGTAGTGCTTGTACAGAATCAGGAAGTGACAGTGTCATCTTCTCCTGAGGTAGTTCTTGTACAGAATCAGGAAGTGACAGTGTCATCTTCTTTTGAGATAGTTCTTGTACAGAATCAGGAAGTGGTAGTGTTATCTTCTTTTGAGATAGTTCTTGAATCGACTCGGGAAGTGGCAGTGTCGTCCTCTCCTGAGGTAGTGCTTGTACAGAATCAGGAAGTGGTAGTGTCATTTTCTCCTGTTTTTTTTTTTTTTTGTTCGTTTATTGTTAAACATCCCTCTCGAGAATTTTCACTTATATGGAGACGACACTACTTGCCGGTGGAGAGCTACAAATTTTGACCTATACTCGGCACTCAGGGCCATTGAGCATTGAGAGATCTTTTTCGTGCCAGCACCTACTGCGACACGGGACCTCTGTACATCTGCCCTTCCATCTTATACGGTCTCATCCGAAAGACCGGTCTCCACGTCCCACAGTAGGATTCGAACCCGCGACCTAAGGATCAACTCCTTACTCTGCGACTCTTAGAGTGAACGCTCTAA